AATGGTATGATGATGTGATGGATATACGGGGAGCAGTGCGATTATGCGATAGATGTAAAGAATATGATAAGATTGTTTGATAGATGCACATGAACAACTTGGTCATGCGATAGATGCACGAAAATGGTGCGATCGTATGATAGATGCACAACATCAGTTTAATCATGTGATAGATGCAGGATAGCAGTTTGATCATGCGATAGATGCAAGATAGAAGTGTAATCGTGCAATAGATGCCAATAGCGGTGGAAAATGGCGCTAGGGCAACTTTGCTTCACAAAAGGTGATGTCATTTCAAACACCAAATTTTTAAAAAGATTTTGGAACTCAATGTATGGGTCTATTTCATTCCGGGGAGCAATGTTTTGTTGGAAACATCTCGGGAAGCAATATTCTAGAGAAGTACCTCATAGAGGAAAATATCATGTTCCCAATTTTGATTTTTTTTGATTTTTTTAGACTGTAATTGAAGTGTGTGAACCCAAACACAACTATACAAAAAAAAAAAAAAATCATTTTTGTTTACATTTTTGAAAATTTCTTTTTGATTTTTTTTATTCTTTTTTTTCTTTTCTTTTTTCTGTTGAGGCATCAAGGGGCTTTTTTTTTTTTTTTTTTCCTTCTTCTTCTTCTTTCTCCTTCTTATTTGAGCATTGTGTCTCGTGCTCGATTTCAACAAGTGCAACCCCTGATCGACGTAGTTGGGCCGACCTCGATTCTTCAACGATCACCTCAACCTTTCATGTTTATCTTCTTCTTCTTATTCGTCTTCTCACTTCTCTTCTTAAGGACAGTCTGTGAAGGAGAGGTAGAGCAGAAAAAAGGTTACAAAATCACTTTTTGTCATTACTTTTCAAACTCTCTTTTTGGCATTACTCTCCTCTGACATGGTCTCTTCCCGCCGTCCTCTTTCCTTTTTTCTACCTTAATGATTCCCCGATAGAGATTGCTAACACCAGCTCCTCTAAGCCTCGACAGAGTGCCCCTGCCCCTGTTTTCAGTTTCCCCACGATGTTAGTCAAGCAAATGATGGCACCGCAGTCTGACATCGATGCCAATTCTTACACATTAAAATCATGCGTGGAGACCGTGACCACGGTATCCAACTTGACATGTCGTTTGCAGAGGAGAACAAATGAGGTGCATCGGTTAAGTGCACAACTCTCCCTCTATCAATGTATGTACCAAGATGCCCGAAAGAAGATTAGCAAACTAAAAAAACAAAACAAAGAGCTGAAATGAAGAGCAACAACCATGGCCTGATTCACAGCCCTTTAGTGCTCTTCATTCGACGGTCAGCGGGGAGTGATTTTTTTCGGAAGCTCTGCAAATGCTGAAGCAAGGTCATCGAAGCGTTCCCTCGAATGAACATCTTAAGGTGGGGCAATTGGTAGTAGAGTCGAGTGATGAAGTTATCTGCAAGTGAAGTTGGCCTTTGACACTCGTCGCCGAGCTGCTGTCGAAAATCTAAGAAAATCCTCTCTTTGTTTTTTTGTATTTTTAAAAATTTTCCTTTTTTGTTTTTTGTTTTTTTTTTGTTTTTCTCTCCCCCCCCCTTTTCTCTCTCTATTTTTGATTGGGAAGGAGTACCAATGCATAGCTTCAGTTTTGTTTTGTTGTTGTTTTTTTTTTCTGGTAATCGAGGGGCTTCACCTTAAAGTTTCAATAAAATGAGTTTCGTTGTTTGTACATCATGGCGTGAATGACACAACATTCGAGTATGAAAACATTTTTCTTGAACTTGAATCTCTCTATTTTTGATTGGGAAGGAGTACCAATGCATAGCTTCAGTTTTGTTTTGTTTTGTTTTGTTGTTGTTTTTTTTTTTCTGGTAATCGAGGGGCTTCACCTTAAAGTTTCAATAAAATGAGTTTCGTTGTTTGTACATCATGGCGTGAATGACACAACATTCGAGTATGAAAACATTTTTCTTGAACTTGAATCTGAGAAATGATTGAATTTCAATGAGTTCTGAATTGGACATTTAACATTTAACTGATCAAAAATCAAAAAACAACTCAATGAAATAAAAACAAAGCAAAAACAAACCAAACACACCTATTTACACTTGTTGGAATGAAAGACACTCAAAACACAAATTTGAAGCACAAACCATTGAGCCTACACAAGTTCTGCAGTTTTTCATTTTGTATTGATATCAAAATTGGCTGGCCGGCTAATTGATTGGCTGACCAACTGATTAGTTGTCCAACTAGCTGAAAAATTGATAGGCCAGCTAATTCATTAATTGGCCGACTAAACGAACTAATGAACCGGCTGAATAATTGGCTGGCCGATTGAAACAATTAGGAAACGCACTTGGAGTCAACTAACAATTTGGATGGCCGACTAAATTGTTAGCCGGCTGACTGAAACATGTAACATGAGACTCGAGAGTACAGGAAGATGATAGAATTCCTGACTCGACTATGCCCCTACTTTGCTTTGACTTTTTTTTTTTTTTTGGGTAAAAAGAATTTGATCAACACGAAAGTTAAATTAGCATGCTTGTTCCACTCTCTGTTTTTAAATCATGTAAGTCAAGCTATGAGCACTGAAAATTCTCCATTTTTGGTTCGAAGAATAGTCTGGTTTTGCAAAAATTGAATAATTTTTGAGAAAATTAGTTAACTTCATTAAAAATTATCAAAATCTATTTTCTAAAATGGCCATTACCCGACCAACATGGAATCAACCCTTAAGATGCACAACGTCAAGTCAAATAACCCAAGCAGGATACACTGCATTACCACTGAATCTGTCTTGCAACTGAACCTTCCATGAAGAAGAGATAGGATAATCGAATTGAATGAAGATAACCTAATTGATCATGGGTAGGATAACCGAGTTGAATAAGGATAAACCAATCAAACATGGATGATTGAAAATGGTTGGGCCGAACTTCAAGATGAAGCTGCCTACGTATCCCAAAGATAGGAATCAAGCCTTACGTAGTTCACGGGGTAAGGCTCACTCGGGTATTTTCACTCTCTTTTTGCATTCTAACTTTTGCCAAAGATGCTCTTCTAGGTTTTCGACCTTGCGAGCTTTTTTTCAGTTTTTTCATTTTTCCTTTCATATTTTTTTCATTTTTCTATTTTTTTTAAATTTTTAAATTTTCTATTTTTTTATTTTTCTGCTTTAACTTTTGCCTAAGTTACCCTTTTAGGTTTTCGGCCCAACAAGTCTCTCAAGAGTAGTACCTTTGTAGCTTGTCCATGTTGATTGGTTGTGAGATCTCTAAGCCATCTAAATCCATGAACATGACTACTACTCTTGACCAGATAAATTTGATGATGTAGAGATTCTGAACTTGCCCTAGGGTCTTAGATAGGAGTTCAATTGTTCTTTAGTACTAAATCATCTTCCCTCAAATTCTAGGATTTGGCAATCCTACGTTGATATCCTTAGCATTTGCCCCTTGCAGTATAGTTCATTTTCCAAAATGTCGTGATACTGAGGATTTTCATTTTCAACTCTCTTGTTGCGGCTATCATCTGCTCTATTCACCATTGAAGCTAGGGTTGTCAAAGAGTCGACAAACCAATTATTCATTCTGACTAGGTGGGTGACTAAGGCTTCATTTGGGAACATGCTAATTTAGTAACTTTTTGACTATTTGGCTAAAATATGAGCTAAAAAAAACTAGTATGTTTGGGATGACTTTTTGACTTTTTACGAAAAGATGTGCAAAAAGTAGAGAGAAAAGAGAATTTTTGACTTTTTGATATGGGTTATTGGCTTTTTGACTTTTTTAGTAACTTTTTGACTTTTTGGCTAAACTGGCTAGTTCCCAAACGAGGCCTAAGTTTCAGTCTCCGATCACATCTAACATTATTGCTGCTAGTTTTAGGGTTGCTTCCAAGCCGACTATATATGCCGCATATTTTGCTTGACATTCGGACACTCTGAATCAAAGTTTGAAAGCCAACATGTCGGGCCTCAAGGTCGAGCCAGATCTTATGCTATACAATCTCATGATCAATTCTAAACATGTCTTCGTAGGACCACGCAAAAATATTTTTTGAAATCTTTTAATAAAGCAACTAGTCGCTCGTGCTCCTCTAAAAACAATGTAGAACTAATCTGGACCAAGCCAAGATCTTTCTTAGTACCCACATGAACTGAAATAATCTTATCCATTAAGGGCTTAGCATGTCTCTCTTCCTCTCAGTTAATCAAATTTTGCAGAGCTCGAGGAATTTCTCCATCTTCGTTTTTATTGAATTTTTGGAAAAAGTTTTAAAAATTTTGGTCAATGAAATGATTTACAAGCACAGAGAAGTAAGTGAAAATTACTGCATCTTTTATTCAAAACTTTTGGCTCAATAGTTGAAACAGACTCGAAAGAAAAGTGAAAAAAAATATACATCACTAGACTGTAACTTACAAGATTGACTCTATCCCGATTCTAACTCCACAGACTTGGTGGAATTAGACTTAGACTCAACACCAATTCAAAAAATAAAATGAAATCATTCTCAAGCTAATTACCGCACGTGCTATCCACCATGTCTGGAACGAAGTTTGTGCAATCAGTAGGTGGGCCATCCCTAATCATAGAAATAGTCACATTATCCCCCAAGTTCATTGATCCAACGCCGGTAGACTTTGTGGGACCTGGTGGGGTAATGACCTTGTTGTTAATCAGATCTTAAATTTCATGGTGAAGGCAAAACAATGGTCAGTATCATGGCCATGTTGCTGATGGAATGAACAATACTTAGTAGAGTCATGTCTGGCCAGAAGGCGATCATGGAGAAGTCAAGGATCAAGGGATTGAGATGGCCTTTTTCGGTGAGGATTTGAAGAGCTTTGGATGGAAGCATATGGAAGGGATTTAAGGTGCAGCTACCAGTTTTAGAAGTATTGACAGAGGGGTTGGCGGGTGTTGATTAAGTTAAGGGAACTTTTACATGTTTAAGATTGGAGCTGTGAGGGGTGTTTCTAGTAAGGCATCCATTTTCATAGCTTAACCCTTGATTCAAAGTGCCCCCAACCTGAGTGACAAAAGTTTCATCCACAATCTTTTCAACAACTGCAAAGACTTGCTGTTTGTTCAGGCCTTTGATCGTCAAGTTCTCAATAGCCCATCGGAGATGTGCATAAGGATCAATACTCTCCCCGACCTCATCGTTGCTACTTGCTTCAACTTTGTCAAGGGATTGGGTGGCTATATCTAAGGAAGACATGATATCATCTAGGCTTGAGATGGCTTCAGGTTCGCTCATTCCAATTTTAGCTCGCCTCAAGATTGGAGAGCTTTTGACGTGAAATTTCTGGCATATGATGTGGTCAATAATGGAGTCAAGATTCCAAAGGTTAAATCTGTCACAGTTCTCTGATAATCCTTAATCATGCTCAATATCTCAAGAGTAGTGGGTTCGGCTATTGGTGCCCTTAGTGTATTTAAACCAAATTAGTCTTAATGGATTGATTAGGCGAGGCTCTTTTGAGTGGGCTGAACTTGAATTGGGCTATTTTGGAGTTCGATTTTTGGGCTTTAAGAGAATTAAGGTTCAGGTGCATCCATCATACACAAGTCAATGCTTTCTGGAATGAACACCTCAGGCTTGGGTAAATGCATTGGAGTGATGTATATGCTGGGGTTATAAGTGGATGGTAGTGTATGGATTAGGTTGAGGTGTGGAGGTAATGGGTTGGTGGTGACCTTGGATCTTTGGGGTTGAGGTGGAGTTATGGTTTTATTATCGATGAGATCCTAAATTGCATGATGTAAGCGAAAATAATGATCAGTCTCATGACCATGTTATTGGTGAAAGACGTAGTATTTAGTAGTGTTATGATTGGCTGGGAGAGGATCGGAAAGAGGTCGAGCGTCAAGGAGCTTGAGGTGACCGTTTTCTACTAGGATTTCCATGGTGCGAGTAAGAGACATATGGAGAGGATGAAAAGTTCTTTTAGGGGTTCGGGTGAAATTAGTTGTTTATGGGCTAGTATTGGCAAAGGGATTGGCTAGTGTAGCAGTGGTAACAATGATTGTGTTGACTTTTGAGGGTATAGATTTGGCAATTGTGCTATTACTGGGAGTAGCGTTGAAATTGTGAGGAAATGTTTTTCTCACGGGCTCATTTTCTTCCACAATGATCCCTTGTCTGATGGCATCCTCAATTTGAACCCCAATTTCATAGAGGTCCTCGAAGTTGAAGAGGGAAAGAACTATCATCTTTTGCAGCAACATTCCATGCAGATTTTTGACAACCATACGGACTTGATCTTTCTCCAAGGGTCGATTTGTCATCATGGATGCCTTGGCCTCCATCTAGTGATGAAGGCCACGAAACTCTCATTGGGCTCTTGACAGGTCGCTTCCAACTCCTAGATGGTCACTTTGATGTGAGTGTTGTATGCATATTGGGTGATGACCGCCTCAGCTAATTCTTCTCAACTATGTTTTACTAAGTTTTCTAGCATGGCATACCATATGGCAGCCACTTCTGACAAAGTTCACCCAAATAGAGATAACTTTTGAGGATGAGTCAAACTCATAAGCTATAAGACATTAGAAAACAAGCGAATATGCACCAGGATCACCACATGCATCAAATCTGTCTATATGTGGAATTTTGAGTCGTTCGGGTAATTTTACGTCTATTTTCGTATACCCATCTTTGATCTCTGGGATAGAGTTGATCCCTTACGACTTTTTGAATATCTTTTCTAGCTTGGCTAGTTTTAGTATAGTCGGATCAAATTCATTCATGTCCATAGGAAAAAGTTCTCTCGTTGGTTGTGAAAGGAGAAAAGGTCATCCCGAAGGTTGTGTGGGAACCCTTAAGTCTTCTTGCAAGTTGGGCTCAGGAAGTTCCTCAGCTAGTGTGGGTGGATTTGGAATTGGATAAGTCACCAGAGGTGGTTGGGTAGTCGATGCCTTAGGTGAGCATCACAATTCAGCGAGAGCATCACCGTGGGTGGCAACCATATTGACAATGGTATCCATGCTTCATTAAAGAGCCAAAAGCATGCCTACTATATTCTCTGGAACTTGGGCCATCATTGATTCTGGTGAGTTGAGTAGAGATGATCTAAATGGTGAAGAAGGGGTACTCTGGACTGTTGATGAGGCTTTTGCTCTTCTTCTTCGTGTAACCGGTGGTAAAGAAACCAACACTGGTTGCCCCTGAACAAAATCTGTGGTTTTACAGAGTCTGCCAGCCCGAGTCCATAGAACTTTGGGGATATTGGACCGTTTTGAAGCTATAGTGTTACGACTTCCTAGCAAAAACAAAAACAGGACCTCCAATCAAATTTCAGAAACATTTTGGCTCAACTAATCATGCTAAAAAAACTGAATTTAATCCCACAAACTAAAATTCCTGAACCATTCATCTGAATTTGAGAACCCCTATATAGATCTCATACATCGCATATATCAAAAAGAGAACAAACACCACTATGGAGGGTAAGGTTATTTTGTCCTAACTTTGAAATGATCTAGGGTTTCACTATACAAACAAGCGACATTGTACATCCTAGAATGAGGTAGCATCCTATCCTAATTTTGGAAGTTACTAGAGCTTACTACATACACTAGGTCAATCTTGGTCAAAAAATGTACCTCAACAAGACACCGATATGCCAACCTAGTTTGTCGCCTACAAGTGAGCGGCGGATCAAGCGATACGGTGGTGATCTAGATTTGAGGCTTATGCTCCCACCATGACAGAACCCATGTTCATCTATCCACTCGAAGCCAGATAACTATCTAAGATAACAGGTGACGAGCATGGAACTTAGGCGCACCAATGCATGCAATGCAATGAACATATAATTGAACATAAAAGTCATATCATGGAGTTCGAGTCAAGGTTTTTTAATATCCCCAGTGGAGTCACCAGAAACTATAACATTGCTTGGGGCGTACCCACACGCGTTAAACAGTTCGGACCCTCGATCTCTTTGATCTAGTCTCACGAGTGCAATGTGAAACATAGATGAGAGTTCAAATTTAACAACTTTTATAGAAAATCTATTTTATTGCAAAACATTTGCCAGGAATGGATTGCATCACCAGATCTCAGAGTCACCAACTAATATTTTGGAAAATTAGGAAACTCGTGACTCGTGCCAAGGCCATTGTTCGTAGTAATTAAAGATGTCTTGGTTTGGAACCTTAAGTATGAGAGGGGAAGGTCTTTAATTGAGCACCCCCACTCATTCGATCAAAGATCAGCGTCTTTAAACCATGATATAAGTTTTATTTACTTTATATGTTCATATTCCGATTTATTCAGTAGATCCTAAACGTTACTATGTGAAGCATACAAGTATAGACTATGTCATTTATCTTTGGAACAATTTGATTTCATGTATTTTGAAAGAGTTTTGGAAATGTATAACTCAAAGAAATTGAGTTTACAAACATAAAAATCAGCCTCATTCCAAATTAAGTGACACAGCTTTCATCCACCGGCATTCATAGACTTATATTAAATAAGCAAATAGCCTTATGGTAGGATGCTAAGCATAGTAAGGAAAACACACACAAACGAGATGCTAAAGGATAAAAACTCACATATTTATCAATGTCCCACAAACAGTTACAAAACAAAGTTAGCAAAACATGCATGATCCTATATAGAAAATCCTAATACAATTCACTTATGAAATACAACTAAAGATTCAGCTTCTAATGTATGGCATGTGAATAATCTCAATACATGAGGTAGCGCACAAAATCACATAATAATTGATTAAATTCACAGATGCAAATTTAGCCGAATCTTAAGGCATGAAACATGGATGCAAATCATGGATATGATGAAAAGATAATCTATGATGCATATTTACAAATAATGGAAAGTAAGTAAAAGAACGAGATAGAAAGAAACGGGGGTAGGGAATTATTACAACACTTTGAATAATTACATATCCGAATAAGGGACGAGAGGAAGAAAAATATTACAACAAAAGAAAATCCTCATAACTCTCTTCGAATAATTGAAAAATAGGAACTTCAGGTGCCTCGAAGACCACCGGAAACCATTCTGCTCAATGCTGGAAGAATACTCGGTTTTGTTCCAAAAGAAGTTGGCTGGCCAACCAATTAATTGGCTAGCCAGCCAAAAAGTTGGCTAGCCGGCCAATTAATCCTAGCAAAAACTTTTTTTTTTCTTTTGTAACACCAAAGAAATAACCAACAGAGAATATGTAGGTGGCTCAACTAACCACTTCCAGTTAGATTACAACTGATTTATAATATGAAATTGAAAGAAGAAAACCAAATATAAGATTAAAAAAAAAAAATGAATGTGTGCAAAGTTTACCTTCCAAGGAAATAATAAACTTATTTGATTTCCAAACTTCCTTTTGATCACTCTCAAGTGTATGAAGTGTGTTCTCAATCCTCAATTCAAAAATTCAGAATTCTTGTTAAAATGGTGACTTGGGGGGGGGGGGAATTTTTAACTCTCTGAATTTCTTAGTTTCAACAACAATCACTCTTTCTTTGATCAAGTCTCTTGAATTTGACTATAATGAAAGTTTTTGATGATTTTGGTAATGAAAGATGAGATATAGCAATGTATAGCTAAGAAAATGGAAGTTTTGGTTCAAAGCTTGGACTTCTCTCTCTCTATCAATCTCTCTCTCTCTCGCAATCAATCTTTTTATCCTGTCTTTAGTCTCTCATTCTCTAACAATTTAATGTTCTTTGTATAGACAACCTTACGGGACTTAGTGGAGAAAAATGATGGAAGACCACAATGGAGGACAAACCATAATGGAAGATAAAGAAAGATGATGGGTTGTTGCTTTAGCTTTCTCCATTTTGAAGGGGCAAGTGCTTTTGGTAGGTGGAGGCTGAGTGTGTAGGCCATTTCGTTCATGAATATATCAAAAAATGGGATAGTGGCTTGTCCTATGCGTACTAACAAGAATTATGTCGAAACTGTCCTATTCCTGGACAAATTAGCCAGCTGGCCAATTTCTTGGCTGGCCGGCCAAAAAAATTGGCCTTGGCTAGACTATTTTGCACAAAACAGGATTTTTTGACAAAATTATCATCCTTTCCTTTTATTTCCACACTGTTCTTTGCTCATTTCCTGAGAAAACATTTCATTTTGAAGTTTAAAAATGAATCTCGGAATATTACAGAAATACTCAGAACAAAGCGCGGAAAGAAAGTTTCGAAAGAGCGTTTTGATTGGGACTTAAACACTTGGCTAAAATAGACTTAGGGTTAAGAGTATAGCTCAAATTTCATATTTTTTATTGAGAATTTTGTGAGAAATACATTCTTATTTTCATCATCGGGTAATCAAAAGAAAGCACTCAAGTCTTAAGATCGGTCAAAATGAGGTGTCTACAGTTGGTAAAAAATTAGTTTAAGCCGAATCGATAGTGATTGATCGACAAATTTAAATAAATTTTAAACAAAAAAATGAAAATTAGGTTTTGAGATTGAGTTTTATGCCTTAAACAGATTAAAGACTTCCCTGGAGGTTATCAAGTAACGAAGAGATTGAGCGGAAAATAATATATATTTATTCAATTAGATTGTCATTTGTTACCAGTTATAAGAATTGACAAAAGAAAAGAACAAATACAACAATTGACAAAAGGAAAGAAATAGAAGTCAGAAAACTATCACTTAATCTACTTCTAACAATTGCTAAATTAAACTACTCCTAGACAAATATCACGTTGTGAATGGTTGTGGATGTCCTTTTCTTCATTCCTCAAGTCTTTCTGGTATACTTGCTTGGCCATCTCATATTGTAGCCATCAATTCATGATCTTCCTTAATCTTTGCTCCGCTCAACCATATCCCATCTTCATAGGAACTACTTATAGATTTTATACTTTGACTTAGTATTGATCCCCTGATTTTAGCATATGGTTTCTAATTGAATTTTTTTTTTGGGGGGTGAATAGTTTCTAATTGATTTTAACAGATATCTTTATTGGCATTTTATTTAATCTTTTCAAGCCACATCATCATCTCTTCCATGCAACTTTACTAGCATACTTGTCATGCCATGTTAGCATATTTGTCGATAAAAATAATAATAAAAAAAAATGTAGTCAAGGTTATTCTTAAAAAATAGCCTATGGTCTTAACAAACAGACCATAATTTAATTTGACCATAATTAATAGGCTATAGTCGACAGAAAAATAAAATGTGGTGTCAACAGTATTGTTCCCTTGCCTAAAAACCACCCAACAAAGGTGAGTTACTATATGTTTCATTCATAAGATTTCTCAATGCACGCATTAATTTAGACCACCATATAGGCAATATCAAAAAAAAAAAAAAAAATGAAGAAGAAGAAGAAGATAAAATTGTATGAAAATAATGAGTCTTTCAATTTTCTTTTTCTCTCTAAACTTGTTTTTGAAAAAAAATTAAAATAAATTATAAAAAGGATAAACTCCCAATAGATCATAATAGTTGGACTTATTGAAAATAAGTCATAATAAAATCGACGCTAAAAATAATTTTTTGTGACGATTTTTTGCGTGTCACTAAAAAATTAACAATTAGTGACTTTTTTAATCATAGTTTTTATAAGTTGTCACTAAAACCTACAGTTATTGACATTTTTCTATTATGAATTTTTCAAATTATCATTAAAAATTAAAAATTAATGACCTTTTTTGTGACTATTTTTTTAAACTGTCGCAAAAACTTATATCAATTAGTATACCAATAGATAATGCACCAATTGGTATACCTATTAGTGTACTAAGAAATGATATGACATAATTTTAAAGGGTTTGGGTATTTATAATTTATATAATGAGTGTGCTTAGCAATAATGTTATAATATATGTTGATACAGTAATTGGTATACCAATTGGTGCATGCAGCACCACCGTAAGAAAAAAGAAATATACAAGGTACACATAGTTAATGTTATTAAAATCAAAATTTCAAGCAGAATTTTTGGGAGAAATTTATGGATCGGATCATAAAATCGGATGAAGGATTGTAAGATTTTATTTTTAATATAAAATGAAATCAAAAAAATTATCGATGATGGTAATCTTTGTTACATAATTTTAAAATTTTTTAAAAAATGAATAAATTTGATATAATGTATATTCTACGTTAACATAAATTAAATGAGATGTTTTACAAATGAGTTTATAGTCAATTTTTTTGATTAGCGAACTCAATTTTTTTATATAGATATATACACTCATACACACACACACACACACACACATATATATCCATATACACATATAAGAAATAAATAATAACAAAAAAATTGGAAGGATCAAGATCGTAGTGGAATCAAGATCGTATGCGATTCTACATGATTTTATGCACCAATTGATATATCAATTAGTGTACTAACAGATGATATGGCATAATTTTAAAGGTTTTGGATATTTGTAATTTATATAATGAGTGGGGTTAGTAATAACGTCATAACATATGTTAGTACACTAATTGATATACCAATTAGTGTACTAACAGATTCGTAGGATCAGGATCGTAGTAGAATCGAGATCGTATACGATTGTACATGATTTTATAATTAGGATCGTAGTCACTTTATGATCTTACTAAATTTAAAATCTTAGTGTGATCCCTATCATTTGATCCAATTAAAGTCGTAGAATCGTAAGATCTTATAATCCGGATCGAGATTCTAATAACCATGAACACAAATAGATAGTTTGTTTTATGGAGCCTATGATGGACCCTACCTCAATGATCTATATTATTCATTTTGTTAGACCTTCTAAACCGATCATTGATTCAAAAAATTAATATGATGAGATATTAATAGTTACTTGATTTAATTTTATTTGTTTAAAAATAAAGTAAATGGACTGCCCATTAATTAATTTTAAGACAAACTTGACTTGATCAAGTGACTCTTTATATACATGGTCAACATAATTTTTTGTATTCTTTTCAAAGAGACCTATTAGATGAATTGTTCAGATTATCGAGATAGGCAGAATATGGACTGGACTAGATCGTCTAGTTGGAATACCTATAGGGGTTTTCAAGGTTAGAAAGGTGATTAGAGAGGCAAAACTACCCTAATGGTCCAATAATGACGGAAGTGGCTGGAGAATGAATAGCAACAACTGTGTGGGAGTTGGAAAGTGTGTAACTGGGTGAGGGTGAAGCCAGTGACTCAAGAAGAAGACAATGGCAGTGCCAAAATGGGCAACATCTCCCCCAAATCCCTAAAATTCTTCCTGTTGAACCTTGGGAAATGGGTCATATTTATAAGGTTTTCCTTGGTGCCAAGAGGACACCAAGTGGCCAAATAGAGAGAAGACATGTGTCCCAGAGGATTACATGGAATATTCTACCTTGAGCCACCAGGCTGAAGGTGCCACGTGTCCCTCTGCATGTACTGTGTACTATCTGTTTGCCTCTGCAACTACCTTTTTTGAACCAACTACCTTTTTTGAACCTCGGCAAGTGTAGTTGCGATGGGAGTGTTTGGCGCTGCACCTCCCTTTTAAGCCTCAACAAGCGCAGTTGCAGCGGGAGTACTTACCTCTGCACTTGCCTCCTCAACTTGAACTTCAGCAAGTGCACTTGCAGGGGTGAACCTTGCCATTGCACTTGCCTTCTCAGTTCTATTTGGCCAGTACATGTACTCTCAGGACTCCATAGCTTGTTATCAGCCATGTTCGTGTTCACCTTAGTGAAACCTCCACCCTTAGCCACCTAACCACAAACTCCCCAGCTTCCCAGTGTGAAGGCCACAGCCAAGCCTGCTATTAGCCATGTTGTGCCTTAGTACCAAGCCCAAGGGGGCTTTCTTAATCCTGCATGTGTGACTAAGGCAGGTCCATGACCTGGGTAATGGAAAGGGAGTCCCTTATGTTCGAGCTACCCTACTCCCATCTTCGCGGGATTGCTGAAGTAAACTGGTATCTCTATTTTTGCTATCAGCGTCAGGTTAATAAACTTTGGGGCCTGCTATCAACCCTAGGCTAGTGATGCCTTGGGGCCTGCTATCAACGCCAAGCATTAGCCTTTACTTGTAGAGGGAGGCCTCTCTCAAAGGCTGCTATCACCTTGGCAGGATATTCCCTTTGTAACTTAGTTGCTGTGGTAGTCATTTCCCGTGGCAAGTTCAGACGGCAGGACCGAAGATATTAGAGATGGCAGTGCCGACAGAATGCCTCCATAACTTGGGCACTGCAAGTATTGCCTTTGCAACTTAGTTGCTTCGGTTTTCTCCTTCCGTCAGCAACTCTAGATGGTTGTGATACCGACATTACTTGGAATGGCAGCGGTACTGAAGATACTTGACATGGCGGCACTGAGACAAAGTGTCTCTGCAACTTGGCCGTCACAAGTGTTGTCTCTGCCACTTAGTCGGCTATCTTTTTCCCTTAGCAACTTCAGATGGCAGCGGGACCGAAGATATTAGGAATTGCGGCACTAAGGCAAAGTGCCTCAATAACTTTGCCGCTACACATGTTCCCTCCGCAACTTCACCGCTATAGGTGTTTGCATCTGCAACTTGACTTGGGGCATTTTTCTTCGTGGAGTCCATCTGAAGCCCTGGTGGGTCGGACCTGCCTCGGCCCACTGTTGGCCCACTTCCCTTGGGCTTTGGCCCATGCTCATTTTTTTTTATCTCTGAGGCGACCTCAGTGCGCGTGCATGACGTCAGCAAGCAACCCAAGGGTTACGTCGGTTGGATCAGAAGTTGCGTCGACTTTGAAAATGTGACCTTTTGACTGCCAGGTCATAATGGCCTAAGGAAGCGTATTGGCACCCTTTGCTACTTTTTCTTTATAAATAACGCCCTTGGGTCTGCTGCTCCCCCACTTCTTCCCAACACACCTTTCTATCTCCTTTGTCTTCTTCTCTTCCTTGTCCTTACTTTCCAAAGCCTTTTTTACCTTTCTTCATTCTTCCCCATGGCCAGCACGAGATTTCTTCCCGACAAGGCTACCTCATCCCCTACTAAGTGAAGGAGGGTCGCATACTTCGGAGGATTGGCTGACCCCTTCTGGAAGGCAGTTGACTCCTTCATTCATGATGCTATTCCTTTAAAGGAGCCTCTGCTCCCTTTTAGGGAGGCTGCTTTGGATGATGCTGACATGGTTAACCCAGCCTCTGTGCTGCGGTTCCACGTGGAACGTGGTGACTTTCCACATTCATATGTCTATTATCGCACTCACTCAGGTCCTCAAGCAGATTGGTCCCTCTAGGTCGATGACATTATTGCTGATGGTGGCTTTGAGCAGCGCTTGCGAGATGTCTGTCTTTTCAACGCCATTCTGATTTCAAAGGAGTTATCAGTGCGCAAGGTGCAAACCAACACTGACATGGTCGTATCCCGCTGGAGCCGCGACGCTCACACTTTTGCCTTGGCATGGGAGGAGATAACTCTGACCCTGGAAGATGTCGCTGTCCTTCTACGCTTTAGCACCCGTGGAGATCACCCCTTTGATCCAGTGTCCCTAACTCTCGCAGAGCAAGTTGTCGTCACTACTCTCCAAAGCACCTTTCGGGAGGCGCGAAGTTTGGTTCCTGGTATGAGCTTAAAACTGGGGAACTGCTCCAGGAGAGGCCTAAAAGGGACAAAACCACCTACCTTTCTTGGCTGAAGTATTTTTTTAAGGACCTACAACCGATTGTAAGCGACATCACCGAGGAGAACCGCGACTCAGTAGTTGGGCTGGGCTACCGCGGCGATTTGTACTTGGCTGCCTTCGTCAGCTATTTCATCTCCTTCTTCGTTCTACCAAGTAACCTTGCCGAAAGCATTAATCCCTTGGTGTTTCCCTTGGCTATCAAGCTTTGCAGTGGCAATCAGATTCGTCTGGCTCCCCTCTTCCTGGGTAACTTATATTTCCGTCTTGACCTCATCCATTCAGACATGGAACGATCCATGGGCTGCTATGATGTGTGGAGTTTTGTACATACTCAGTTCCTGACTGTCTTTTTCTATGAGAGATTTCCTGCTATGGGCCTTATCCCTAAGGAACACGAGCCATTCTTCACTGATGAAGTCCTTGATGCAAAGGGACACCTTATTCTAGATGCAGAGGGTCGACATGTCACGAGACAAGTGCGTCAATCCCTCCCTCGCATCTCTCGGTGGTCTGGCCTTGGCAACAACAGACCCTTTTCAAACTACGTCGACCGTATAGAGGAGTGCGTGTTCCACCCCTTCACTCAACTCCTTCCACGCATTTTTATGGTTCCATTTTATTTTTCAGAGGCCCGCCATGTTGACTTTTCTCTCGGCAGTGTCCCAGCCAACTCTCTTCTCATTGCTGCCATGATACGTCCAGAATTTCTGCCCATGTGGAATGAAAAGGGCATGTCTAGTGTCGTCTATCGACCGGACAGGGTCCTTAGGCAGTTCGGAATGGATCAGGGTATCCCATATGCCCCTCTACCTCAGACTGATTTTCACCAGAGCTTTCAGCGGTTTGTTCGTGACTACACTGCTCTACTTGTGAAGGACTTAGGCTTCATGGAGCTTCCTTCACTTGGGAGAGAGGGCGCCTTTACTCCTAGCAACAAACTGCTCTGGCACCGCAACCTTGATTCTTTCTTCAATTTTTGTGATAGTGCTCTCGTTGTTCCTGCGATGGAGCCTATCCCGCAGCCTGACTTGTCCCTTCGTCTGCCCTTTGGCCGAGGGAAACAAAACAGTATATTTTGCCGTTTCAAGCTCCTATCTCGGCTTGTCACAAAAGAGCCTCACCCGTCTGAGGTAATGTCTGTTCAACCCTTGCAAACTGCTCCCCCTCAAGTGGGCACAACAGTACGCATGACCCGTTCTAGGCTGAGGGCAGCCCAAGCAGCAGCGACATCAGTTCCTGAGGCACATGCCTCGCCCAGTAGGAAAAGACTCTAAAGGGTATCCACACTTAGAAAACATTTTATATTACTTCTTTGGACTTCTTATACTTACTTTAATAACCGCATGGTCTTTTTATTTTTATTTTTTTATTATTTTTTTCATTTAGGACCCTTCGACCATTCTACCTTCTGGTCCAGGAGGTTCTCCTACTGCCATTGGCATTTTTTCAAACTCAGACGACAACAACAACCTTCCCATCGTTACTAGGGTTACAAGATTCAGGACTCGCAGGATAGTTCTTCCAAATGTTGAAGAGGAACCGAGTGTGAGAGCCGAACCAACTACTGAGACCGAGCCAGTTGCCAAGGCTGAGCCAGTTGTGGAGGCTGTAGGCAATGTACAAGTTCCCCCTGTTGTGCAAGTTGCAATGGGTGATCTAGTTGCTAAGGGTTCAGAGCCTCCATACCCCACTCACTCCTTGCACTCCTACTGTTCTTCTGTTAGCGGAGATGACTTCGTACCTGAGACCCCATGGGAAAATCGCGGCGTAAGAGAGCCGTTGGAAGTTGCACCACATCCCCTTGGAGCTGCATCTAGCAGTTCCTCCCAGTCCATTGAGTCCCTATTGGTTCAACAGACTTCACTTCCAAATGTCCAAGTGGCTGAGGGGAGTGCAAGTGCAGCGGCTGCTGCCACTGTTCCTGCGATGGCCCCTCTAAATTTGGACCGACTTGCGGAGGTAGTTGTCACTTTAGCTGCCTACACTGTTACTGCCGTTGTTAGGACCTCTGACCTAGTTGCTTTAGCAACCTCTGAACAGTTGGTAGACTTGTACCCCACTCACTTTCCAGAAGTGCTAGCTGACCTTGGGGTGTTCCGAGATTTTTATACTGGGATGGATACTACTGCTGTTCCAGATCTAAATGTTGGAGATTACCAGATGGACAACCCCTTTTCAGAGCGACACGACGGTGCAGGTAGCTTTGGTCTTTCTCGTGAGACCAGTTCACCCGATCGCCAGCCAGCCTCTACTCACTCTAATGCTGCTAGGCAATCATCTTCAGGAGAAGTCACTTAGACCTTTGGTCACTCCATCAATCTCCCTCCAGTGATTGAAGATGGCAATGGTATGAAAGAGTCCCTCCAGTCCTCAGAGAAAGTTTCCTTCTTAAGTTATTGGGTCTCTTCCGAAGCTGCTTCCACTCTTGCTCGTATCCAAGCACTGCATCCGAACACCTTCACTGCCTTTAATGTTCCTGGATCTATAGTACAGATGGCGTTGCTGGAGTCATTTGCTAGTTTCATTCGTGACCTTGCTACCAAGCAGATCCTGACAACCCCTAACAAGTTCGTGGAGAGTGCTGACGCCAATCGAAGCGGCTTTGAGAGAAATGGTTTGAACCTATCATGGATGAGGGACAGGCTTCAGGCGGTTGATGGTTTCCTTGAGCACGCCGACAATGTGGCGATGATTGCGTCTCTGAAGGAGACTATCAAAGAGTGTGAGGGTGCTCTGGAGTAGCACCAGCAGAACCTGGCTCGGTTCAAAGAGAAGGACTTTGCATTGGTTGCCCAGTTGCCTCGAGATGTGGCTCTGATGGACTCCCTTTTGAAGGGTTTGATTTGATTTGATGTAACTTTGTGACTTTGTTATGATTTCTTCCATTTTCTCTTCTTTCTTTTGTTGTTTTATCGCGCTTGGTGCGCCTTTTCTTTTCTTCTTCTTTGTCATAACTTCTTTTCAAACATTGTAATCATGTTCTGGAAGTTTGACTTTAATGGAAAGCATGGACGTTTGGTAGTACTTTTGGGTTTCA